ACTTTGAAGAACCCAAAGAAGAGAAATATAAAACCATATAGAGAACATGATCACAGCTATAAAAAAAAAAATACACAGAGAGAAAGTTAAGAAGAATTACAACAAAATGGGAGTAGTTTTTCTCCATGAATGTTCTAGATTTTCTTTCAAATTTCACAACATTTCAAGCAGGATCTTCCGGAAAGCAGCAAATGTCATGTTCTGCTCCCATTTCTTAACAAAATCTTTTGCAAAGTGATTAAAGCCTGTCTCTAATTAGCCTTCTGATGTAACCACAACTTTTTCTGGAACTTCTGGCAAAGCCTGTGAGAACCATCCACTGATTAACCATAGGAAAGGGCTTCTCTTCTGCAGCGGAGAGCAGGTGCGTGACGTGGTGCTCCCAGATTTTACTGCCCTCGGATCATCCTAACACCCCAAGGAAGTGTTCTTTGACTTTCAAGGAAGTAAGGGGCTTCTGAAATTCCCCCAAAACAGCTCCCCCAGTAGGAATTCTTTGATGGTGTGGTCGGTGGTGGTGGTGGTGAAGGGGTAATGAATGAGGCAGTGAGCTGGCTGCCCTGCCCCCTGCCATTGCATCCTGGAAAAGCCAGTTCTTGCACTGTGTCTCCAGACACACGAAGCTGGTGAGCTATCTGTCGTTGGACTGGTTCCCTCTTTGGCTCCAAGCCTCAAGCAATTCGACCTTAATACATGATTCAGCAAAGTATCCCCCAGTGTGTTATGAGTGGCCACTCTGGCTACACAATGGACTTTCCACCCTTGTTGAATCCGTTGAGAGGGGAGCTTTTGTTTTGAAGAAAATGAAATATTGGGAAATTTCCCGCCTTTAAAAATTGATTCTCATTTTGAAAATGATCTGTATAGTTCAATTTGTTCCAGAATGGACACTCTAATTTGCACTATTGCCTCGGTGGAATTTTGCATCCTGTAGCAGTTTGGTGGGACTGCTCTAGTTGTGAAAATAAACCCAGAGAAGGCAACCTGAGGCTACTCATACTTCCCATGGTCATTTTTCAACTTAAGTGTCCTTAATGTAAACAATGATAGATGCCCATGATCACAATTGGGGGCACATTTGCATTCATTCCCAACCAAGAAAAACTGTTCCACCACAAGGGATGAATGTAAGGTGACTAGATAATGACCTGCTTCTCACATGGCAGCGTACCTGCAGTTTCCTGGATGGCACAGGACTTAATGATACAATTTGGCATAAAATTTTTGTTATGCTGACAAATTTTTAAAGTAACAATTTTTTTTAAAAAAAAAACATCTTTTTTTAAGGAGGTGGGTGCTTGGTGTAGCAGGTGGAGCTGCCTGGGAGGCCCACGTCCCATGTTGGAAGGTCTGGGTTTGAGTCCCAGCTCTGCTCCCAATTCCAACTTCCCGCTAATGTGCACCCTGGAAGGTGGCAGGTGCTAACTGAAGTAGTTGTGCCCCTGTAGTCCATATGGGAGACCTGGATTGAGTTCCTTGTTCCTGGCTTTGGCCTGGCTCAGCCTTGGTTATTCCAGGCATTTTGGGGAATGAGTCACGGGATAGAAGATCTCTGTCTGTCTTTGTCTCTCTTTCAAATATATAAATCAATTAAAAATTTGAAAATTGTTTTCATCAACTCTAGAACTCATTCATGGGTATTCATGGGGTATCACTTTCCTATGGCTGCCAAATCAAAGCACCACAAAAAGGAGTGGCTTAAAATACCATGGGGGATTTCCTGTCTCACAGTTCTGGAAACCAGAGGCTGAAGGCAGAGTGTTGGCAGGCTCTGTTCTCTGTGAAACCGGTGTAGAGAATCCTTGCCTGTTGCTGGCATCAGCTGCCTTCAGAGTCACCTGATGTTCTCTGTGTGTCTTTGTCTCAACGTGAACATCTTTTAAAAGGCTACTAGTCACTGCTCATCTATATTCACAAGATGCTATCCCCAAATAGGGTCCTATTCTTTTGGGGGATGATATGGTTCCATCCATTTGACGTGATACAACAGGGGGCAGCACTGGGGGTGCTAGGAGTACAAAACAAGAGTGCAAAGAAGGAAGTGAGTGAGACCCATGGAGCCCTCTGTGGGATTTTCCCCATAAATGGGGTAGCAATAACCTCTCCTGTGTATTTGGTAGCAGGGGCTCAGTAACTTTGGCAATACTTAACCAATTCCCAACTATACACACTCAACTTGCATATTTGGGTCCAATCTGCAAAGTGAAGTTTGTGGTTATGTCCAGGACACTCGCAGCTGCTGCCATATATTTGAAAATGTCTGAATTTTGTGCAGAGACACACGAGCTGTGTTTTCATAAGTGGAGTTACATAATTCAGGGATGGACTTGCATACTAATTAGCATGTGTAATTAGGCACCAACTTCTTGTCCTTTAATTAGATAATCAAGAGAGATAATCACAAAATTAAGAGGTAATTACATGGCCCAAGATTTACATATTTCTTTCTCATTAGAGAGTACATTTAGAAAAGAATTTTTAAAACGCTGATGAATAAATGAAGTAAACACTAGATTTAAGGATGTTAAAGAAAATATTAAATGGATTAGAAAAATCTCATTTGTTCTTTCCTCATGAGTAGAAGGGAAACTACTGAAAATACCATCTATATGGAAGCATAATCTTCCCAACTGTACCACCAATTTTTAGTACATGCACCAGCGAAAGGGAGGTTGGTGAGACTTATCCATGCAATTCACACAGGGCCCCTGAATGACTGGCAGTTCCACTTGAGTATGAACTTAAGTGTGATGCTCTGGGAATTCATGCAACCCCATCATGCCCCAGAGATGGAAGTCTTGAAAGAGGTAATAGTCTGCTGCCTGCTTCTTCTATTCTGTGTGTTTTTCTGGTGTGGCTGCTTTAGAAACATACCCATTGCTCTGAAAAACAGGTTGTTCCTTCCTTGAATATTTTCCTGAATGTTATTTTGAAAATATTTATATATTTGAGAGGCGGGTGACAGAGAGAGAGGGAGAGATAAACAGAGAGAAAGACGTTCTATCCATTAGTTCTCTCCTCGTGGCTGCAACAACCAGGGCTGAACCAGCTCAAGGCAGGGGCCAGGAACTCCGTCCTGGTCTCCCGGTGGGCAGTGGGAGCCCAGGAACTTGTACACTCATCTTGTGCTTTCCTACATGAGTTAGCAGGATGCTTTGTCAGAGGCAAAGGAGTCAATACTCAAACCAGTGCTCTGAAATGGGATGCCAGCACTGCCAGGCAAGGCTTAAACTGTTGCACCACATGGCAGCTCTGGCTTATGTATGAATTTATTTAAAGTATATTTGGAAGTCAGAGAGAGAGAGAGAGAGAGAGAGAAAGAGAGAAGGGGGGGGAGAGAGAGAGAGAGGAAAGTGAGCTTTTTCCCTCTGGTATACTTCTCAAATGCTTTCAACAACCAGGACTGGATCAGATTAAAACCAGGAGCCAGGAACTCTGTCGAAGTTTCCTACATGGGTGCAGATACCCAGGTCATCACCTGTTGCCTCTCAGGATGCAATTGGTGGTAGGATGCTGAATCAGAGGCAGAACAGATGGAACCTGACCTAGGAGTGCGGACACTTAGGATGTGGATATCTCAGGCGAGAGCTTAACCCGGCCTTCCCCAAAGTGTCTTTATTGTTAGTGCTCCTTGTTGGACTCTAAGCATGAAAAGGAAAAGTCAAAGAATACAGTGAACATTCCATCTTTCTATTGAGGAATGTTTTTTTTTTCCTCTTGGAGATCCAGACTGTAGTGTCGTTCTCTGTTTTTCCTTGCTCCTAAATTGTGATTTGGCTGATCTCTGCATGATGCTAAACACCCAGTTTGACTCATTAATTTTTCTGAACTAACTGAACTTTTGACCTAATTGGCTGGCTGGTTAGGGATCGAGGCCATATGTCTAGGTTTTTCTAAGCCAGTTCTGACTATAACTGTTATCCCTCTGTTCCCATAAACTGCTGAAATATCCTATAACTCAATGTTTTGACAGCCACGCTGCATTTCTCAGACTGCTGCTTTCTCTTGGCAAGTGCCACAATAACCAGTTGGACTGTGCTTACTGGTTTGGGGTTGAAAAATATGGTTCCCATATGGTAGCAGGCTGGGAAACAAAGGCTTAAAGAGGTTGTAAGCAACTGGTGATAGCTTTCCCCTCCATGGTGTGCTTTGGGTCCTATTTTAAATTTGTTTTTATTAGGCCAAGGAATGTGAGAAGAGACAAACGATGCATAAAGAGGCTGGGACCAGTCTGGACAAAACGCTGCACCGATTTGCTTGGGTTGCTTATTTCCTACCACTGCTAGCTTTCTGCTTGGCCTTCTGAGCAATTGCTTGTGACAGGGTTGGGGCAAAGAAGCCGAGCAAGGGATGTTTCTTAAAAACATCTTACTGGGGCTGGTAGTATAGCACAGCAAGTTAAGCTGTTGCCTGGGTAGCTGGCATCTCCTATCAGAATGCAGCTTCCAGCCTTCTTCCCTCCATTTCTGATCCAGCTTCCTGCTAATATGCTTGGGAGCAGCAGATATTGGCCCAAGGACTTGGCTTCCTGATTTGCAGGTGAGAGACCTGCATGGAATTCCTGGCTCCTGGCTTTGGCCTGGCCCAGTCCCAGCTGTTGTGAGGATTTGGGGATGGAAGATCTCTTCCTCATACTCTTTTGTTTTTTCCTTTGTCTTCCTTTCTCTGTCTCTTATTTCTGATACAAATAGATAAACACAATTTTTAAAAAACCCTAGGGTTTATTGATGGAGATTCAAAGTGGGGCAGGGGAGTGGTGGGCTGCAAACACCACTGCATCCAGGTTTGCAGACTCCTTGATCTCAAAGCCATTGTTCCCTAAGGAAGAATTTCTCAGCTCCTGTTCTACTCACTTCCCTCTAGGCCTCTACCTCTCTTCCGTCTTTAGGTATAATAACTGGAAACTTCTCCTGTCCTTACTTTCAGAGAGCTCATTAATTCTACTCCTAAGGGGAACACAAACTCCAATTTTTCGTTTTTCAATTTGCCTCCCCTTGCAGGTACTCCACGTCAGCGTTCTCACGCTTGGAGAAGTTGGGCATCAGACACCCCAAGCCCTCTCCTTTCATTGGAAACCTGCCATTTTTCTACCAGGTAAGGATGAGATGTGCCATGCCTGAGGCCAGCTTCCTGCGTGAAAATACGCTCTTGGGCAGGCCTCCCATGCCCTGTAGGTCTGTATGTGGAGACCTGGGTGACCTCATGAGCCCTTCTCTGCTCGAATGAACTCATTAGTGAGAGTGATCCATTGTTGCTGTGTGAAGTCATGTCATCCATTCACCCATCTCTTCACCCCAAACCCTGAGTGTCTGGAAGCAAACGAGGCCCTAACATGCCCGACTAGGAGTTATAAAAGGCCTCCAACGAGCCATCACATAATAGCGTGCAACTTCAGAAGGGATATACACTAGTACTAGATTGGGGGGCACAGGTAGCCTATGGTCTTCTTTCAGAGGACAACCCTGAGAGCTGGAACTACCCAGGGTACTTCCCAAAGAGGGCCTAGTGGTGCAGGGGTATGGGCAGCAATGTACATGGGTGCCCCAACATGAGAATCATGGTGTAAATCACCCAGTGCTTTGGAGCTGAACATTAGTGAGCAGTGGGGAGTGCAGCTGGGAGAGAGAGGTAGACCAGATGACCCATAGACTGGCGAGCCAAGAAGGGATCCTATGTTTTACTAGTCTGTTTGAGTACAAGAGCGAGCTGGAAATAGGAAATTGCTTGCAAGGAAGACAAGTTCAGATAAAGGCTAAAGAATCCAGCTGCTGCTAAAGTCTAGGTGAGAAGAGCCCAGGACTGAGGGCAGGGTGGTAATGTTAGCAAAGAGAAAAGGAAGCTGGAGGCAACAGGAAGAACTCTTGGGACTAATTGCACATGGAGAATTCAAGGCAAAATGAGCGCATGTTTTGAGTTAGGATACAGAGAGAATGATTGTGGGCTGACCAGAGCAAAAGACCAGAAGGGATAGCTAGCTAGTTAGCAATAAGATGGGTTTTATTTTAAGCATGTTGCTTTCGATTTCCCAGAGTGACATGCAAGTGGAAATGATCAGCAGGCATTTGCAGAAATAGACCTTATCTCTTCAGTTCTTTTTTCCCCTCACATTGGGTTTTCTCTGCTGATTCATGGGACACTGCCACCAGCCCCAATCAGGAGCCCCCAGATCCTGACAAAGGCAGGAAGGGCTAAGGGGGAGACTAATCTTAATAGGATGCCTTTCATATCGCTGTAGGACAGCCCTGCCCCTGCCCCCCGGCAGGAGAGTCAGGGCAGCTATTTCTGTCCTTTCCCTCCCTGCTTCTTGGTTTTCTGTTCCTTTTTATGCCCATCACTCCTTTCTACTTTGCTGTAGTCTCCTTCTTGCTATATTTGTTTATTGTTATTGGAAAGGCAGAGTGAAAAACAGAGGTTGTCCACCTGCTGGTTTACTCCTCAGGTGGCTGCCACAGCTAAGGCTGGTCCATGCCGAAGCCTGAAACTCCATGTAGTCTCCTACTCCTATGTGGATGACAGAGGCCCAAGTGCTTGGGCCCTCCTCCATGGCTTTCCCAGGAACATTAGCAGGGGAGTGGGTCAGAAGTGGAGTAATGGGGACTCAAACCAGCACTCAAAGAGAGTGCTGACAAATGAGTGGCGAGTTAGTCCACTGTGCCACAATGTCAACCTCCATTTTTAGATATTATACACATTTTAAAAAAATTGTTTGTTTTTGTTGGGAAGGCAGATTTATAGAGAGAAAAAGAGAAAGAGCTTTCATCTGTTGATTCATTCCTCAAATGGCTGCAATGGCCAGAGCTGAAACAATCCAAAGCTAGGAGCCAGGAACTTCTTCTAGGTCTCCCATGTGGGTGCAGGGTCCCAAGGCTTTGGGCCATCCTCTATTGCTTTCCCAGACTATAAGTATGAAGCTGGATCAGAAGTGGAGATTTCAGGACCCAAACCAACACCCATATGGGATCCCAGCGCTGGTAAGGGGAGGATTAGCCATTTGAGCCATCATGTTGGGCCCTTATACACACATACTTTAAGTGCTGATAATCTGGTCCTTTAAAGCTGTCTAAAACCTTTGATTGACAGTATCTTTTACAAAAATATTTGCTAAACTCCCACATTCTAAACATTTTACCTTCAATTCTTTTTAAAGTTATTGTTTGGGATGGGAGGGTTGATGTTCTAGCAAAGTGAGTTACGCCACCACAGGTAAAGCCGTCCCCGATGACGCTGGCCCGGGTCTTGACTGCTCCACTTCAAATCCAGCTCCTTGTTAATGTGTCTAGAAAAGAACTGGCGAATGGCCCAAGTGCCTGGGTCTTTGCACTTACATAGGAAACCCGGAAAACGCTCCTGGCTCCTAGCTTCAGCTTGGCTCAGTCTCAGTCATTATGGTCATCTGGGGAGTGAACTACTGAATGGAAGATCTCGCGGTCTGTCTCTCCTTTTCTTTTTCTCCATATGTAACTATGTTTCAAATAAAATAAAAATTTAAAAAATATATTGTTTCTGTAATTGTGTTCTTACTCTTTCAGATCTTGTTTTTCTGTATAAAAGAATAATGGAAATTTTGGTGAACTTTGTTCTGACTGTGTGCTGTATTTTCTTCAGGGTTTTTGGGAAGCCCACAAGGAGCTCAGAAGGCTATATGGACCTCTGTGTGGGTAAGAAGGAAATTCAACCTCTCCACTAAAGATTCTTCTTTCTGTGTGTCGGACTGATGTGTACCTTGGGATAAGGGTAAGAAGGTTGCATGTCTGTATTTGTGAGGGCCACAAACAGAGCCCGCAGACAAGGTTCCCAGAGAAGGGACACCCAAGCGGGCACTAGGTCAGCATCAGAGTACACGTCCTAGATGGTAAAACTTTGGTGAATCAAATGCCTTAATTTCCTCTCATCCCTGCACCAAAGGGTATGTATGCTCCATTGGGACAACATCATGGCCCTCTATGTTTCAGGGCACAGTTTATTTTGTCCTGGCAAGCCATGGCAGGTCTTTCCCTATGAACTTCCTTGACCTGCTGGTTCAAACTGCAGAGTTAAGTTTACTGCCCAAAGTATGGCTATATCATAAGAGTAAAAGCAGGTACTACTAACAATTATCCAACAACAAAAATGGTAAGTTAAACTGTCCTAGCGAATCACCCTAGTTCTTGGTTGTGCACAAAAAGACAGTCCTGTCCTTCGTCTTCCTGTGTTTTCCCTTTTGACGTTACAGTTGGTCTCCTCTGCTGCTAAAATTCCAGAATCTGGTGAACAAACCCATGTCCAGACCATTAGCTGTGTTGGGACTGAGCAGATGTGGAGTGTATCGATTTTCAACCTGTTGTCTTTCCACACTGGCCTTCTAATCATTTTAGTCTGTTTCCACACAGCATCTTCTCAGCCCCTGGGTGATTGTTAGTCGCTTTATCTAGACTCTGGGGTCTGTGGTAACTTCTTTAGGTGTATTAAATTCAGTTGTGTTGCTAATTCACATCTTAATGGAGTCCAGAGGTTTGAGAGCCCTTTTGTCTATAGCATCTGCCACAGCTCTTTCCCCAGGGCTCAGCTCTGATTGGCTTCTACCATCTGTGGACACAGTCCTACCCAGGTCACTGGCAGCATTGCACAAGATCATCTGCCTACTCTTCTGTTTTCCAAATAGCCTTGGAAAAATTAACAAATTGTATGAGTTTATCACTGCAGTTGTACAAATCATTCAGTGGCACAAACAACAAGGTATAACACACTATGTCCCTAGTGCTGTGGGTCTAAGGCTTGGTGGGAGGCTGAGTGTGAAAGCCATGCTTGGCTAGAAGGCTCTGCTGGACTTACAGATGTATCTGCTGGGGAAGGGGTCATCTGGGGCAGCTTGGTTCTGTGTGTCTCTCATCCTCCTTGGAATACCAAGCTTGTCGGGGCAGCTGTAAACCATGCTTCTTCTCATGCTGTAAACCAACTTTAGAGAGTGAGCCCAGTGGTGCAAGAGCATTTGAAGTTTCTGCTGTATCAGAAACAGCCTCTTGATCAAATGAGGGTACATGGCCAAACCTGAAGTCAGGACAAGAGGCACAGAGATCACCATGAGGCCAACACGAGTCGCTTGGACAAACCTGAAATTGATAGAGCAGGGAGGGATACTGTTCTGATAGTCAAAGAGGGCGGGGCTTCTCTAAATAACAAGCAACTTGGTCTCACTCTAAGATCTCTTTTCACTTGGTTCTTACATGTTTCCCTCCTAGTGTGTAGTGTCTGGTTTTAAACATGATGGTACTGAAGGGAGTGAACTGTTTGTCTTTCTCTTAAAAGATCTTGTCCCCACTCTCCCTTTTCTGTAGTCTCATTCTGCAGCTCATTTGCTTGACTTGGAAGACTTCTTTGTTTCGTGGATGTAGCACTGATTCTGACTGAAGCATCATCAGAATTAGACAAAGTCTTCTCAGAGTTTGAATTCTAGGAATGCCTTCCCTTGAGTACTTCTTGTACAGATTTTCAGAACAGAACCCTCCGGTGTTTTTAAATGCCAGATGAGGCTTTTAAAGGCCACTGTTTTTAACGTGTGTGCGTGCACACACGTAAGAGGAAGAAGGGGATGGAGAGAACTGGTTTCCTTGACAACATGATGTCCAATCAACTTTTCTCCTCGAACTTTAAGTTAACACAATTTATCCTTTCATTTCAAGAATATTTAAATCAAAGAGAATGATCTCAAATGGGGTTGTAGAGATGAAAATTGCAGTATCATCTCTACTCTTTGTTCCCACCTCTGGTGTAAAGGGAAGAAGAGAAAGGTGATGGCATAATTTCTTCATACAAAGCTATCAACTTTTTCTCCTTTAGGGAAAAAAAGATTGTCTGTAAAATGCTAACTTCTTTTTAACCTTGCTCACTCCTGGATTTATAGGACAGATGATAATGAGCAGGTTGATTTCAAAATCTAAATATTATTTTCTTACTGCTTACATTTTAGCAAAATAGTCTTCACTAATTAGGAATGTCAAAAATGGACTATGTTAAAGAAATAACAATATCCCTTCTTTTAGGAAAAAAAAATTTTTGCTTGAAATTACATTAATTTTTAGATGACTTTAATCATTAGGAAAGAAAATCCCAGCTTGATCCTCTTAAAAGTGATGGTAATAGCCTAATCGGTATCTGACAAGTGAAGCCCCGAATTACTGGCGCCAGGTAGGAATCCATGTGACTGTCAGAGGACATGTGTGCAGGGAGGAGTCCTCACTGCTCTGGGCCTGGAAGACAAATATGGTGGCTATTTAGGTTCACGATCTGGTTATCATTACAGCAACACAGCCATGGTTTAGGACCCAACACTTGAAGTCTGTTCTTTACCCATTTTCTCTCTTGATCCACGGGTTGACAGCATCAGTATTTTATCATCCGCACTGTCATCATTGCCACCACCATGACTGAGGACTGAATGCCTTCACCAAGTAACTCAACATCCTAGCCCACTTCTAGCGCTGTGTAAATAAAGCTACACAAGGTGTTGCTGCCTTCTTTGAACATGAGTGCAAAGTGGGTGGACTGGTGTGTACATCTATGCAACTTCCATTTACGGCACTTGATTAGAACTTACCTGAATCACACAGAAGTACCATTGGTCATGTGTGTGAGGAAAATAAGGCTTGCTGCTCTAGACAACCCTAGCCAATTGACAGCGACCTCCTTCAGTCTGAGAATGATCCCCGCACAGGATCTGTACGTCCTCCCAAATTCTGCAAGATTAAGATATCGTCATGCAGTAGTGATTGAATATAAACAGGGTGGAGATTATTCCCCTTGCAATTTCTTGTTGACTTCGTTGTCTAGTAGGTGCCAATCCTTTACTATAATACTATTGTAATTCCTTACAGATACTTCTAGTGTTCTACTTCTGCTCACCAGCAGCAACTAAAGGCCTTACCCAACTCCTTTTCTCTTTATCTCATCTATCACCCAAGGACTGAGTATGTAGTTCTGCTTTTACTTGGCTTCGCCTTGCCTTCTTCTTGCTCCCACATTGCATTAGTTTTGATCTCTAGCATAAGCCTCCCTCCCTCTTGTTAAACTTAACTTTCTAGTTTGCTATGTCCATCACCTACATGGTTCCATTTGGTAACTGGCATTTGCACCACTGTCTCCCTCCATGAAGCTAGCTTTGTTACGAAGCCTCTTCTACTCCCAACCGAATGCTGAACTGGCAGTGCGCAACATGACCTTGCACATAATCCATCAAGTTCCGGCAAGTATACAGAGAAAAGTACTCCTACTCCCACATAAACCTCTTGTTCTTCATTGAGGCAATTCCTATTCCCAATTTTTTTTTATATACTCTCATGGGTGATGAATACTTGGTTTGAATTTTTCATTAATAGTTTCATTAATTTGGAGCATTGACCCATTTCGGTGCATTCAGTCTTGTTAAATGCTGCTCTGTTTTTTTTTTTTCTCAATGTTCTGTTATATGAGTGTATCCTAGTTTTCAAAACAAGTTCTCAACTGATGAACATCCTTTGTTTTAATAAACGACACTGCAGTGGGTATTCTCATGTACACATTGTAGTTCTCTTGTGTGAGTAATGTCTGTGGGATAAACTTCTAGGTCTGGAATTATTAGATCAAAGATTATTTGCAATTTAATGAAAAGCACTAAATTGCTCTCTCTGGGCATCATATCACTTACATTCCCAAAAGTCAGTATGAAAACACTGGGTCCCTCACATACTTGCCATGAGAATGTGTGGTCACAATTTTAAAACTTTATCATTGGATAGTGTACTGCTACTGCTTAAATTACTTTTTGCAACATTATTTATGTTATTTATTTGAGAGACAGAGAGATAGAGTGCTTCCACCTGCTGGTTCACTCCCCAAATCTCTGCAACAGCTGGAGTTGTGACAGGTGGAAGCCTGGTCTGCTGTGCGGGTACAGGATCCCAAAGCTTTGGTCCATCCTTGACTGCTTTCCCAGGCCACAAGCAGGGAGCTGGATGGGAAGTGGAGCTACTGAGATTAGAACTGGCATCCATATGGGATCCCGGCACATTCAAGGTGAGGATCTTAGCCACTAGGCTACCGTGCCAGGCTTGGGCACTGGGATTTTAAGGGCTCTGAAGGATTCGGCCTGTCTGAACCCTCAGGTATCATGTGACTACACTTGACTGTGAAGTCAGAGCCATCTGAACACATTGGACCTGAAAATGGGGGCAAGATGGGTTGCAGCAGAAATCATTGCTCAGTTTCTGATGAAGATGCAAGTATTCAGACCCAAACTAGAAAACTGGCATCTGGAGATGGTATGTTTTTTATGCCAGAGTTACAGAGAGAGAGAGAAAGAGAAAGAGAGAGATTCTATCTGCTGGTCACTCCACAATGTGGAGTGAAACTGCATCAGCTGTGCCTGTCTGAAACCAAGTACCAGGAGATTCTTCAGGGTTTTCCATATGGATGCAGGGGCCCAAGGACTTGAGCCATGCTCCACTGCCTTCCCAGGCAACAAACAGGGAACTGGATTAGAGAAGCCAGGACTTGAGCCAGTACCCATCTGGGATGCTGGCGCCCCATTTGGAGGATTAACTTGCTGCACCATTGCAATGACCCGGATGGCACTCTTTTTTTTTTTTTTTTAAGATTTATTTATTTTTATTGAAATGCCAGATTTACAGAGAGAGAGAGAGAGAGA